ATTAACAAAGAAGTCATGTACATCAAGGTTCACTCAGATTTATGAATGCAGTTTCTTGAGCAAGTATACATGTATGACAAATAGTTTTGTTGCACTTGTGTACTCTGAGATTCTGAACATGGGTCAGTGGAAATTTTTAGTTGTCAGTACAAAACTAGATCATCGGAAATCACTTTATGATGAGTTGTAACCACAAAGAGTACATATTTATTCACCTGTTTGCAGATGTTCTTTGTACAACTTTATAATCAAATAACGGGGACTGTGACATTTCATGTCTTGTTTTTTATAAAAAGTTGTAGCTAAATACGATAAAAGAATACAAATTTAAATCTTTTTTTGAAAGCTGTCAATTAAAAAAAGTACATTTAATGATTATTATTTATTAAAATTAATTGGGTATACAAATTAAGAGTTGTTATGCTACTCACTGCATTTGAAATTGCCAAAATTTATGTTGCAAAAATGAATTCTATTGTAATACATGCTCACATGGATTTGACTTAAATAGTGAAATTAAAACCCAGTGTATAATTAATGCATTTACAGATATGCATTTTAATAGTGTTAAAGGCTCACTCATGTCATTGAACCTGGTCTTTAAAGGGTGGTATTCGTCGCGTCGCTTCCTGTTCCATGTGGGATTCAAAGTGTATAATATATTTTTGGTTAACACGAAATTCAAACACACGTTGTGCAGCGACCACCACCCTTTAACCCTTGTTTATTCTTGTTGCACGTGTGTATCAGGGTTCTCTATTTGAATTTTTAGGAGACAAAATTTCCACACAATTTATATTTGTTATTGTAGCATACAATCACTGTTGTTATATTCAATATCACATGTATTCAATTTTGAGATATGTAGTGACATTATTGCTGATGAAAAATTGCTTGATTAGGAACAGTGTTTACAAAATCCTGACTGGTTGGTTAAAATTTCAGGGAAGAACCCTGGATGGTCATGTGATGGTCATGTGACACCACTGTATTATTTTTTCACAGATCACTATAATGATTCTGTGTGTTCTACAAATTGATCACACTGGGATGGAAACATTGGAGTTTATGCCAAGTGGATTACTAAGATTTGTTTATGGTGGTGACATGGGTAGTATACATCCTATAGACAGTACTATTGGTAGCTATGTCAGCCAGGATTTAGATCTCATAGGTGATACACAGGCTGTTATTATGCAACAGAAACTCAGTGACAACATAAGAGGTGCTTCAGGTAATATGCAAATCACGTGTATCAGGTGATGAAAGTGTCACTGTCACCATTAGCATATTCAGATTAGTAGGATGCTATTTTTATCAGCCAATCATGGTCCCCAAATG